GATCTATAGTTTTAGGTGAACATTTGTAAATACTTTGCAGAACATGATTAAATTACAATACTAACATATTTTACAATCGATATATATTATACAGGGGAAATTTAACCAATTACATATTACTATTGTGCTCTGGAAGATAAAAGGAAATGAGGGCTTTAAACATGAGGTAAGTTGCCTGTTGTCAAGATCTGTCAATATGCTTCACATTCCTGACCCTAGTCAGTCAAATTACATGTTCATTATACCATTAGAATATCTCGAGAGCTTCCCACCTCATAATAAGAGATGGTGCTATTATGTAGCCCACAGAGATTTACCAGAAAATTATAGAATAGTTATGATTCTTTGATAAACTGTACCCGGTCCACCTCTTCCCCATCTAGAAGAAAGTCTAGCCCTATCACACAGCAGGGAAAAGGAACATAATTACATACAAGTGTCACATTACCTTGTTTCTTAATCTGCTCTTCAATGGTGGCCAAGTGAGACTGGAACCGATGCCTCCAGAGTCGGATTCCGGTGGCATATGCCTGTAGTGTGACTGGCAAGGGAGGGTCCACACTGGGCACTTCACACTTCTTCAGGAATGCATCTATCTCAAGCAGCTGATTCAGAGGCAAACAAAGTTCCTCTAATAGTCTTTTTGCAGCTCCCTGTGAAAAGGAAAATGCTAAAAACACAGGCTCTGTCCTCTTATTATTTATCATGTGACTACAAGCTACTAGCATCAAATACTATTGCAATATGGTTTTGTAACCTCAATATTCTACTTACAGGTGTTAAACTAGGAATGGTAATCTCAGGATGAACTACAAAGCCCTGATCAGCATTGTGTTGGAATATATGTGATGCACTTGGACACATCAGCACCCACACAGTCTCTCTCATCACTGCCCATTCACTCAGCTGCTGACTGCCTTTGCTGCCACATTTAGTTTCCCTGTTTCAAAGGAAGTCAAGTTAAAGTCTCATGGACAAAGAAATAAGGCATGACTCAAAAAGCCAAAGAAATATAACATGACTCAAAAAGATCACAGAAATATGAAAAGATTCAACAGGTCCAAAGATAGGACATGACCCAGAAAGCTAACCCCATACTAGCTTACCACAATTTTGCTACATTAGCAGCAGGATGTGACGACAGTGGTGCACACTGTTGATATTTCTTGGATCCCCAATACTGTGTGTGAGTGTTCGCAGCCAGCCAAGACTGTGCTCGGTGGCTCTGCTCCAGCAACTCCTGTGCCGTGGGAGCACGAGGAAGGTTACACGAGTCTTTACCACCCACAGAACTCCTCTTGATGGGACTGTACTGATTATACAAGGCTTCATCTTCCGTTTCATTTTTCTCCTCATCGCTGGACCAATCCTGAAATGCCAATGGCAAATGTAATAAAATGCACCAAGATTCATCACTCAATCGATTCCTACTTTCTGAAATAAATCCAACATAATCCACGAGACATGTCTGGACTCACAGAGAGAGGCTGCTCTATCCCAACAACATATTCTGGTTCTCCTTGTCTGAGGTAAGCAACCCAGTCAATATTCTCTTCTGCCAGATGAAGCGACTTCACGGGAGATGAACTCTTATTCAGCGTCAGAAGTAATTCGTCGTCACTCACAGGCACCTGTGTGGGACTGTTACTCAGGTGCAGCAGGAGAGACAGAAGAGACCACTCTATATCAAGCTGTAAGGAAAATAAACCTTATATATAAAGAAATAAAGATACATGTACATACATAGACAGACAGATGGATGGATGGGTAAACAGACAGATAATGATATATAAACATACTCCCACAAAGAATCAAATATAATCACAAGTATCTGTGCTTATACATTATAGGTAAGTGTAAAACATTAATTGTATAATACTAAATTCAATGTGATGCTCCACTAAATAAATATTTTGTACAGTTTTCAGCTGGCTTTTCTCAGACTACGAAAACCAGACTTTAAAAATCATTACATTTTCATCATAAAATGACCCAATGTTCATTTGCCTTTTGATGCACCAATTGCTAATTTTCAAATAACTGTGTAGTTATAAAGTTTGTAGGTCACACTTGCAGTGAGACAAAACAAAGCCTAAATTTTACATATCATTATTTACAAAAATACATTTCTAATTTTAAGAAATGATACTTAATGAACTTAACTATTCTGTATTCTTAAAAACCCATTCATAAGAAATTAATGAAGGTCTATATCTCTCACAGGCAGACAAGTACCAAACATGAATCTTGCAGATCACCAATTTCATGCAAACCTTATAACAGAACCAACATAATAAATTCCCACCTCATCGTGATCTTTAAAGAATGGAGAAGCCAGGAACTTTGATGTAAGATTTTGTAGCTGTTGAGCTCTGTGATGTTGTCCATGGATGCTGAACTTGAGGACAAGGCCATCAACCGAGCGCCTCACATTGTGACTGTTCACTGCCAGGCAGTGGTGGTACAGCAGATTAGACAGGACATACTGTTCACTTCGGATAAAGTTCTCTTCGCCTTCCTGAAGAAAAGAATTATGAAACTCATGAGCAGAGATAATGCCACAGTCACCACAACAAATTACAAACAAGTGCAATCTTTAAACCTCTATTTCCAAATAAAAGTATTTTCTTCACATATACAAACTGATAATGGAAAATCCTTCTTGACACCACATGTGAAATGGAAGAGAAAGAAAGTTGCAACTACTTGCAGTATAATGAAGCCTATAAGTTGTCTAAAAGCTGTATTTCTGTTTATAGAATTTCTTCTACAAACAGAGATTTACCTCCCTCATTCTTAAAAGCTCTTTTGTGGGAAAGCAGTAATCCACAAACAATATTAATATTACCAATCACATCATGTATATTAATGATCTTAACACATATGTCACCCTCTGACATTAGGAAAAATCTTAGTTGTGGTAGCTAAGAAGGTATGCATTAAAAATAACAAAACATCAATGTGGCAGAAAAAAGACAAAGATTATACCAAATAAGTCTAAGATGAGACAAGATTTTCTGTTCTCTCAACTTTTGATAAATCTCTGTACAGTAAGTCTTTCTACCATCATAACAGCAAAGTGGGATGTTTAGTCATTTAACGTATTGAATAAAAGAAAATCAAGGAACGGACTCACACTAACTTATTACAAATGTCTTTCAGCAAATATCACTTGAACAACATTTGCTGTCCCCCAAAGAAATATTACATATGCTTTCATGAATTACTAATACTATCAATAAGATAAAAATTTACAGCAGGACTGCATCCATCAAAGGCTAAGACCTCAACCTGAATGACACAATGACAATGACACAAAAGACCACAAAGATAGCCATAAGAATCTAAAATCCTCCTAGACTGGGGGCTTTGGCCCTGGACCCCCTATCAAGCACTGTACTTCCCTAGGCAAGGGATCTACGCTAAGACCCACTTCTTTATTTCTACCTAGCTGGTGCGGTTCTTTTGTGGACTTTAAAAGTGTGTAGTAGTAATACAAAACTAGCTGACATATTGCCATAATGAGTTATGCATTCTGTGTAGTACATGATACTGCACTGTAAACGTTGTAAGTAACCTACAAAAAATTGGCCATGGTTTCATATCTAAATGCTTACTAGGCTATTAGTCCACTATGTGAGAGCACTCATTTTTTCACTTCCCTGCAGTAATTACACTATACAGAATGAGAAAATATAATTTTCTTAGAAATATAACATGTGCTGTTCTCCTAAACTATAACCATCAATATTATCAATACTGTTATAGCTCCATTTATCTCACTTGAAGTGTGGTCTTCTTTATGCATTTTCTGTTTACATTTTTAAAAGTCTATTTCAAAAATCCCAACTCAAAATCAAGCACTGTATACAAAACCTAGAGGCAGGTCACATGACTGTGACCTGCCATATTTTCTAACAAAGATTTCTATTTGACACAACCGTGTTATTGTCTTGTATAATTTTTTTTTTTTCACAGTGAATGAGGCCCATGCAGCATCACCAACAGATAAAATAGAGGAAATGCAGTTTTCCAGGATTGACAATGTGGTTCTACATCTGCTCTGGTAAAGACCAACAAACCTTAGCTGAATATATTCTAAGGTATAAGAATCTGGACTGATTAATTGGTAGATGACAAATTGCTAGGGAAGTCTACAAATTTTGCCTTGTCACAGTAAATGCCTATGTGATTGATTTTTTTCCAGCCTTAGCCAGTGCAATAAGGAATGTGATCCCAGGGACAGAGGAGTGGGTATTACCTCCATCCTTGCCTCCAATATATACTACTATTACATTTCATAATTAGTTATATGATGATTTCAAGGAAACACAGTATTACCTTCATTATTATCATTATTTCAATAAAAATTACAACAACAACAACAACAATAATAATAACAATAACAATAATAATAACAATAACAATAACAATAATAATAATGAATAATAATAAAGAAATAATAATACTATTGAATTTATTATTATTATCATTATTATTATCATAATCACCATCAATTATCATCATTACTTAGACAATTAAATAATTAAAAAACCAGTGTAGTTTCAGTTACACACGACTATTTGGTACAAGGTAAACTAGAGACGGTTCAACAGAAAATAAGACACTTTTCTTCGATGGTATTTCCTTCGCAAGTTGTTGCCATAGAAGTTGTGAACCCCTTAATACTTTGAAATACATTTACAGGAAAATCTACTGGAAGTGTCACAGAGAAATGGGAATAACTACACTAAAACGAGCCAGAAACGAACAAACACAACAAATGCCGTGAAGTAAGTAAGTCCACAGTGAGCAGATGGGGTAAGGGGTGGAGCTCGTAATGGGGATAATACAGGGTGGGGGTCCTGAGGGCAAAATCCCAAAGCCAGGAAGGTTTTTGGTTCCTATGGCGATGTTTATGGATCCCCAGGAGTAACTGTAGTAATAGGGTTTCTTTCGACTCAGAGGGGTGCAGTCATACCTAAACAATTACCCATATTTATAAATATATCATTTGTGTTGGAAAACGTTGAGGGACACACACACGTTACATTGTGATTAATTAAGAGGGAAGAATAATAACAGCAAGGTTATAAGTCCGTGTGAAACTAAAACAATATTTAGAAAAATAAAACAATAACCAACACTATAAATTGTGAAACTAAAAAAAAAAAAAAAATCAGACTGAAAATTATGAAACTAAAAAAAACAAATAGTTAAATAATCACAGATTGTAAATTATGAAACTGAAAAAAAAACAAAAAAACAATGATATTTGTCAACGAGAACAACTCACTCTCCAGAACTAACTCCCAGAAACCAGGATTTTCTAAATACCTTTTCCTCTACCCAACGGCTTATCACACGAACCCAAAAATCCAAACCTACCCTTTCCTTCCCTTCTTTTCATTCCCTAGACACAAGGGGACACAACCTCCCAGCCCCCCCTCACCCCCCCCCCCCCACCCCCATTTATCAGCACATCAAGATCACTGGCTGCGTGAGGGCGCTGTGGACTCGGTGGTCTGAGCCCTGTTATGCAGGGGGTATTTTCGTAAAAAATGAGTAAATATGAGTAAATATGAGTAAATAAGAGTAAACATGAGGTAAACATGAGGTAAATATGAGGTAGATATGAGGCCACTCCAGCTGTACGTGTGATACTTAAATTTTTCTTCTTCACGTTCTTTAAGATAACAAATGTCCATTTCAATAACAACATACATCGTAAACTATAAACAAGAACATAAATACACACAATAAACATAACGGCGAAAAAAATAAATAATAAAAACGACAATGAAATAACACATAGGCCATGATATGATTTCCTAACTTCGCCTTCACCTCCTTAAATACGCCATAATCTCACCTCAAACCCTAAGACATGAGTGATCAGCTCCTTCGACAACTCGTCAAACTTCCCCTGCATGGAAAGAGACATGTTTTCTGTCCCTAAATCGCGTTTTTTCAGCGATAATTCGAGAAGAAAAAAGATTCCATAGATTTTGTTTTGGTTCGATTTTCAAAACAATGCGAGGCAGTGTTGTCAAGAGTTAGCGGAAAAATAATGCGCTATGTTGGGAGGGGTGTGGCTTGCTAAGGATGTGTATATTGTATATATTTCTGAGTGGGATATGCAGAAATGCGATAATTCGAGAAGAAAAGAAGAAATTCCATCGATTTTGTTTTGGTTCGATTTTCAAAACAATGCGAGGCATAGTTGTCAAGGGTTAGCGGAAAAGTAATGCGCTATGTTGGGAGGGGTGGGGGCTGGTTGAAGATATATGGCATATATTTCCAGGTGGGATTATGCCGAAGTTGGTGTGAATGTATTGAAATAGAATGTAGAGTAGCTTTATGTGTATATCGCCAAAATACAAGGTATGTGAGATGCGCGTTTATAAAATTCACTTGTCTTAGCGCCTTCTGCTACATATTAGCAACGCTGTTTGCAAGACTAGGGCTCCACACGAAAACCAGAAAATTACCTCCATGTAATTAAATCATCATTATTATAATTACTTTTATCATTGCTATCATCGTCATCATCATTTATTTTCGTATTCTTATTCTACGCATCATCATCATCGTCATCATCATCATCACCATCATCATTACTGTTCTTGTTATTATAACTAGCATTATTATGATCATCATTATTTTATTATTGTTGTTAGTATTATCTCTATTATCAACATTATTACTATTATCATCATCATGTTCATCATCGTCATCATTATCCTTATTGTTGTTATTATGATTATTATTAGTAGTAGTAGTGCTATATTATTAGGGGCCATTTACATATTACGTCACACTAATTTTGACATTTTTAGACACCCACCCCCTGTCACACGTTGTCACAAATTCAAAACTACCCACCCATCCCCTGTCACACGTTGTCACAAATTCAAAACTACCCACCCACCCCTGTCACACTTTGTCACAAATTCAAAACTACCCACCCACCCCCTGTCACACTTTGTCACAAATTCAAGACTACCCTCCCACCCCCTGTCATATTTTGTCACAAATTCAAAACTACCCCCCACCACCCACCCCCTGTCACACGTTGTCACAAATTCAAAACTACCCACCCACCCCCTGTCACACGTTGTCACAAATTCAAAACTACCCACCCACCCCCTGTCACACGTTGTCACAAATTCAAAACTACCCACCCACCCCCTGTCACACGTTGTCACAAATTCAAAACTACCCACCCACCCCCTGTCACACGCTGTCACTACCCACCCACCCCAATGTGTGACATCACATTATGAATTTCAATAGGATATTTTTTTCTGCTTTCGTAATAATGTGTTTATCAAGTCTTTTTTTATTGAACATCATCTTTCATACAAAATATAGTAAAAAAAAAATCATAAAAATGGGTACATGTATTACAACACTATTTGAGGTTGTCAAAAGTTAAGGTCTTTATAATTTGGATAATCTAGATCTAAAAAAATACTCTCTCTCTCTCTCTCTCTCTCT